ACGTGGTAAATGACCCTTCTAAGGGGTTCTACAATCCCCCAAGGCGCTTCACAATCAGTCATTCACACATTCACACCCTGGTGGGGATGAGCTACGATGTCGCCACAGCTGCCCTGGGGCACACTGACAGAGGCGATGTCATCGGAACACAGACACCACCGGTCCCTCCGACCACCACCAGCAGGCAAGGCGGGTTAAGTGTCTTGCTCAAGGACACAACAGCAGCGTTCTCTGGTTGGATCCAACCCACAACCCTCCGTTTACCCGACAACCTGCTCTACCTCCTGAGCTACTGCTGTCTGTGTGTTGAAAATACCAAAATGCATGAACTTAGTACAAGGTTTGTCAGCACCAGGTGATTTTTAGCTACCGAGTCACCAAACTGAAAAATGGAGTTGTTGCCATTTTTTGTCTTTGCCTATTGGCCTGCTGTGGTGGCTATCTTTGATTTACCAGTAAATGGATTTTAAATAAACTCCCAGAAGGTAATTATTGGATGTACATCTACAAGTGATTAGCTTTTGGAGGCCATCATAATAAAGATGGCCTCCACAGCTAATTTACTTTAGCTCAGTCACCTTTGACCTCTTGGCAGAAGGCCAAAGAGAAGACCTCGAGGAAGTCAAACAATCAGATCTACAACTTTTGCATTTTTTTCCTTTGCATATTCCAATCTGATCCACTTTTATTTACAGATTTCTTCACACAAAAGAAATATATAAAAAGCATAAATTTACTATAACAGTAAAAAAAAATAACTGCATGTGTCTGAAAAGTGAAAGCAGGAGATCACCTAACTGGTTTATGAACTTCCACCAGACCATCTGTCCTGTTTGGACGTAATTAGACTAAAACATAAGAATCTCTCGTTTTTTAAGCATCCAGCGTTTCTATGTGAGATCCTTAAGCAGCTGTCCTTTAACCGCTGTGGCTGCATCTGATCTGAAGCGCCGCGTCACGTTACTCTGCCCTCCGGCAGCCAACCCACCCGTCAGACGGAAAAATCTGTTTACCACTCAGCAGGAAGCTGGAGAGGAAATAAAACTCTGCATCACAGTTTCACCCACGCAGCTTCGGTGATATCATGCAGAATCTGTCAGCTCCGCCTGCCCTTTGGCTCGTGTGCCTACTGTGTGCATAAACACAGGTACGGAAACACAAACAATGCTGTGCGTCCAGGTAACAGCGCACATATGTTACATATGCATGTGTGATGCTTATATTGTCTGGTTTGTGCCATATTTAAAGTAAATATGTTCTTTGCTAAGCCTGTAGCTGCAGGGAAAGAGCTTATTCAGATAATTATCTAGTTTTGTTTACAGGTTTGTTGGGATGTACGCTGCATAAATTGTACTGATTAGATCTTTTCATCTCTTTAGAATTGTGTTTCTGTGTAAAAGTTCACATTAAATTGTTGTTTGCATGTAATTTGTTGACTTACGAGAGAAAATGTCACCAGGAGGAAATTCTTTATGTTTCTCTGAAATGAATCCAGAACAAAATGTTGTTTAAATATTGCAGCAATTTACTATGGTCGTGGTTTTGTGTGGACTAGCTGTTAGCTCATCAGTCCTTTGGGACGTAAAAGCAATTTTTCACAAATTAAAGCCATTAAGGAAGCTACAGGAACCAAAGTAATGATTTATAGCATTTAACCTAAAACCCCTTTAAACGGACTAAACATCCCTTCAGTTATGATGTGTCTCGGGTTTGTTTTCTGTCATGACGAACCCTTTGGTAAAAACTTAGAACAGACTGATTAGGACGTCCACTTAATTAAAGTCAAACTGGTTAAGCTGATTAGATTATCTGTTAAATTAGACGGCGCTGTTGAAAACTCTGCTCTACGTTTGTACAGAATAATCAGAGCGTGAGGTCTTCTGCAGCGGCTGCACCTAAAACAAAACCTGATTACAGCGTCGGAGAATCAGCATCCCTAGCGGATTGTTTCTTTGTTCTTGATGCTCCTCTCCAGCCCACGGTCCAAACTGATGGTTATTTTTCTCACCAGGGTGAAATAAAATTAGGTAACTGCTGTAGAGCTGCTCTGTGGACAGCAGTTCTGTCTGTATGTCCCATTTCTGCTCCTTTTTTTTATGTTAACGCCCCGTTGGACCCCTAGGCACATTCCATCATGGCTGTTAACAGGTTATTTCCTCTCAGTGCGAGTGTGTGTGTGCTGTATATATGCGCTGTTACATTTGGTTTATGTGTGAATGCAAATTAAGAGTGTTTGTTTTATTCCATTTGTGTTGGACCTGGTGTGTGTGTGCGTCTGAGTGGGATGTCGCTTAAAACAAACGGGTCCCAGTGGAGAACTGAAGCAACAGCGGCAGCAGAGTGTTGTCTTTGGTTGATTGTGCACAAGACTGCCTGACAAAAGAAAACACAGCCGTAGAAAACAAATCCTCATTGTGTTGAAGCCACAATCAGCTCAGTGTCAAAGCAGCTGTTTCCTTCTTTACAGTTTTGTGATTCAGGAATGTGCTGCAGGTTTCTCTGCATGAGGAACGATCCGGAACAAGACATGTTTTTTTTTTTGCGCAGTTTTCTCTTCTGGCCTCACTTTCATTTTATGCCTGTTGAGTTGTAACTAATTCAGTGTGTTTCTCAGGGACATTTCATCTATGCTGATACTAACACACTCAGCACAGATGAGCTGCAAAAATGCTTTGTTTTAAACTGAGTGTTTTTTTTTAAATCTACAACTAAAGGTCGTCGTCGTCGTCTTCCTCCGCTTATCCGGGTCCGGGTCGCAGGGGCAGCATCTCAATTAGGGAGCTCCAGACCGTCCTCTCCCTGGCCACCTCCACCAGCTCCTCCGGCAGGACCCCAAGGCGTTCCCGGACCAGATTGGAGATGTAACCTCTCCAACGTGTCCTGGGTCGACCCGGGGGCCTCCTGCCGGCAGGACATGCCCGAAACACCTCCCCAGGGAGGCGTCAGGAGGCATCCTGACCAGATGCCCAAACCACCTCAACTGACTCCTTTCGATCCGGAGGAGCAGCGGTTCTACTCCGAGTCCCTCCCGAATGTCCGAGCTCCTCACCCTATCTCTAAGGCTGAGCCCGGCCACCCTACGGAGGAAACTCATTTCGGCCGCTTGTATCCGCGATCTCGTTCTTTCGGTCATTACCCAAAGACCATGACCATAGGTGAGGATTGGGACGTAGATCGACCGGTAAATCGAGAGCCTGGCTTTCTGGCTCAGCTCCCTCTTCACCACGACAGATCGGCTCAGCGTCCGCATCACTGCAGACGCCGAACCAATCCGCCCCGAGATACTTAAACTCCTCCACTTGAGGTAGCACCTCTCCCCCGACCTGGAGTTGGCAAGCCACCCTTTTCCGGTCGAGAACCATGGTCTCAGATTTGGAGGTGCTGATCCTCCCTTTCACACTTCTCCTCAATGGAATCCATTGGGCTGCTCAGAACCGAGCTAGCTTTGTTAACTAGCTTGTTCAGTCTCTTCCTGTCTCAGTCAGAGCTGCATGCACCCCAACAGACCACAGCAGAGTGAAGAACAGAGCCAACAGCAAAGTGATAAAAGGATTTTCTTAGTTACCACATACCCAGATTTATAGCAGTTTTCTCCATTTTTAATAATCTTTCAACCTCCTGCTGTTGTGTCCTTGGGCAAGACCCTTCACCCAACTTGCCTGTGTTGGTAGTGGTCAGAGGGGAATACTGTGGCGATCCCTCCAACCATCTGGATCTATTGTTTAAGGGGACAAGTTGTGCAAAACTCACCTTTTGCATGCTTTTGTGCTGCCACGTAGGTCTCTACTGCCTCAATAAACACTCTAAATGGGAAAAACTCCGCCCTGTTTGTGATGTCACTAATTGGTAAGTAACACTAGAACCACCTCACATGCAAGCGAGAGCTGCTGCTGGAGGAGCTTCTCAGCTAATAGCAGCCTGAGTGGGGGGTGAGCAGGCGTGGCCAGCTCCAGCTTGTTTCCTTAAGGTGACAGAACCCAGAAATGGCTCTTTCTAAAAGAACAATTTTCTGTATGCGAGAAGAACTTTGTGAACATTGGTAATGGTCATAGAACTATTAGAACGCCCTTTTAAATCCTGGCGTTCTCTAAAGAAATCACCATCACGCTCCACCTTTCATGTCACACTTTTAAACTAAGAGCATCTTCTGTTGGTGTTTTTCATTTAGCCAAATTATGAAAATAAGTTATGCAATCTCATGCATTCATTGAACGACTTACCTACCAACGCAAGGCTTTAGCTAAAACTCTGTAAAAGAGACTGAAAGAAAAGCTTTTTTATGTTCGTTCACTTTGTTGTTTCAGTTCTCTGGAATCAGGATGACTCCAAAAGTGAATCATTTGTAGACAAGCCCTGATTTCTGTCTTGGAGCTCATTACAATTTGTCCAGTGGTTTGTGAGATATTACAGATGACTGAGTGCAGACGGGAGACCATACCAGCGTTTTGGTGCAGAGCGATCATGAGCGTTTAGTAATCAAACACAAAAGCAGTTGCAATGACTTCTAAAAATAATGTTTATTTTCTTCTTTTAAAATCCCAAAACTAAAACATCTACGATTGGGTGCTTACATTTTTACTGCCAGCCATAAATTGGTCATGATTTGTGTATTTGCAGTAACCCAGTTGTCCACTGCTTCTTACCTGCAGCAATGGGACATCATTACTCATGGCCGATGTCACCCGGGGCAATAAAAGCAGCACGGCCATCTAGTTAAACAGACACGGATTTCATGGATTTACCATCAAAACATCACATGGATTTATTTGTAACCATTTTTTATCCTCTGCTCTTCTTCCCCTCTGCAGCATCTCCTCTCATTTGCACATTTGACATTGAGGCCTTTTTCCAGGCCAACTTAAACCAGAGCACAAGTTTTTGTTGTAATCAATAACCAGAACAAAGGTCAAAGCAGCAACGTCTGGAAGATAAATGTGGCCATTTTTTTGTTTCCCAGAGTAAACGTGATGATCTTCCCTTCCTTTCCCACCTGCCCACAGAGCCACACTTCATCTCAGCCTATGACATTGGCCTCTTCACCTTCTTCTTCCTGAGGGAGAACGCCGTGGAGCACGACTGTGGCAAGACGGTCTACTCTCGCGTGGCCAGAGTCTGCAAGAATGACATTGGTGGACGCTTTCTCCTGGAGGACACCTGGACCACGTTCATGAAGGCGAGGCTGAACTGTTCCCGCTCTGGAGAGATCCCTTTCTACTACAACGAGCTGCAGAGCACCTTCTACCTGCCTGAGCAGGACCTCATCTACGGCATCTTCACCACCAACGTGTGAGTAACAAGCAACGCGGCACCTGTCCAGTCATGTTTGGATTCAGATGTCCGGGATTCGTTTTAGGCAAGTAATGAACCGTTTATACGCAGCAGCCCTCTGTGATTTTCACTTGATGCTACATTATACTAGCCTAGAAATTTAGACAAACCATGGTCGTTCGGTCTAGCCACACTGCATTGTGACCTCAGCAGGTCTATCATTGGACTAAGCAATTTTAGCTCCAGCCAATCACAGACCAGAGATACGTTGGGGGGTGGGGGGGCTTAGCACCAGAGCCATGAACGAGAAAAACTGCAAAGATGGCGTTGACTCAGGAACAGCCTTTGGTTGAAATGGATTTGGCATCAACTTCGGACGATTTAGACTTGAGCTTGTTTTTGAGTTCTTAAGTCCTTTATTTAGAATAAAGGACATATTTTCTTCTTCTGCGATTGTAAGTGGTGGACTGCCCTGTTGACAACATGTTATGTTGTTTGTTGCTCTGATTGGTTCTAGCTATACTAATAACATGCAGAGACAGTTTGAAAGGCAACCATGGATTCCTCCCCACAACTGGGTTGTTTCAATGGTTGTGGCCATCCTTTACACACATAGGAAGGCTTGCCAGGCTCACATTTTGTGCATCTGCGCCAAAAGACCAGAATAGTTCCTGTCATTAACCAAAATACTGTTTCCTGTCCTTGGTGAACGGCTGAATTGTGAGCTGGTTCTTCTGTGATGTTCCATGTACATCTACAATCCTCATCCAGTTTTCTGCTTTCATCCCAACATTCAAGGTTACCCATCACGGTGGCAGGAGATTTTACAAGAGAACCACGTTAACGTTTTACCTGTAGGTGGTTTTTAAGTTTTTACTCATTTCCTCACATAAATAAATCAAACTAGAGCCATACCCTGATCCAGCCGTTCTGTTATAGCTGCAGCCTTTTTAAAATGACTTTACTTTTACAGCAGGAGCTGTTTCAGTAAGTTTGAGCTTTTTTGTCGTAAAGAGGCCGTATCATGGAAAATCCACTTTTTGGAGCTTTTCACTGTGTCATATTGTTATTTCCTCGATAAAAAAACAAACAAACCCATTTTTGGCTGCATGGATGTAGTTTCCTGTTTCAGCTGCAAATTTTGAGTTTTACTTTATAAATTCTGTAAAGAGTCAATGAAAACTAATCTTGTCATCAGGCACTGCTCCTCTCGTGGAAGCTCTCCAGTCTGAATCCTGTCTGCCATTACCAGCACATTTTAAACTTTTATAAAAACCAGAATAATACTGTAAGACAAACACCTCAGGTCATTGGCAGTTTGCATGTAACATTTCTGAATACTAAATACGGCAAGCTTCTTTTTACGCAAAAGTACTAAAATCAACAAAACCAAACAAAAACAAAATATATATATTATTTATTAGGTCAATATATAGCACTGAATCACAACAGAAGAATACATCTCTAGGCACTTGAAAACTACAAGAGAAAATTCATTTTAATTCAATCATACATACATTCCTATCTATTTAATATTCTTGTGTTTAAGAGTTCCATTCCCTTCAGACAAAATAAAAATATCCCTTCCATTTTTTTGTGCCATCTTTCCTTGATGTTTTAAAGGCTGCTGTTTTGTATTCTATGGGGTTTTTATTTGAATAAAATATTAAAAAATAAATAATTTTTTTTTTCATAAAATAACGTGGGTTTTATTTGATTTTCTCTACAAGACCGGTGACGTCATGACGCAAACGTGGTGATGTCATCACGCAAACTAGATGATGTCATTGAGTCGTATGCACATTTGCACTTGATGTCATCTGGCGACATCTAGCGACTTTTGGGGGGAACTTCAGCTACTTTCAGTCAAAAAAAGTTGGCAACACTGCGCTGTACACCAATAACAAGCACAACAATAAAACAGACATATAACCATTTTAAATACAATAAGAAATCCCGAGTACAAGTTCGCAATCCTTATCAGTCCTGTTTCCAGAATCAGATCCAGACACATTCAAAGTGATGCTCTCCACGCAATCCCAACTTCAATGTCCAAACGCCAATGAGAACAGAGGTCTCAAGTGATTTGGCCTGCTTTACGTCGGCTGGCAACTCATTCCAAAGACTTGGTCTGAGCACTGAAAAGGCACGACTCCTACGAGACTTCAGGCTGTACCTGGGCACTGTTAAAAGTCTCTGGTCAGCTGACCTAAGGGAATGCACCGGGACATGTCGGTGGATGATGTCAGAAAGGTATTTATGTGCCCTTGAGTTTAACGCCTTAAACACAAACAGGATAACCTTAAACCTGATGCGATAGGAGACAGGGAGCCATGCAGGGCACGTAGGACTTGTGTAATATGTTCAGACCTCCTGGTAGATGTTAACAACCAAGTAGCAGAGTTCCGAACCACCTGGAGGCGTGCTATTGGAGCTTGCCTAAGCCCCGCATATAGCGAGTTGCAATAATCCAGCCCGCAGCTAACAAAGGCATGGATCACAGTTTCCAAATGACTACGTGACAGAAATGGCTTAATTTTTGCTATTTGGCGTAGATGAAAGAAGCAAGATCTCAGGATTCCGTTCACTTGAGCCTCAAATCTGAGCTCTGTGTCCAACTTTACCCCTAGGTTAGTGACCACCGCCTTCTGATGCGGTGTCAGTGTGGAAAAATCAAGCCCTTGGGCACCTCCTAGGGTCTTCGGTGGAGTAAGCAGAGTGGGTAGGGAATTTTCAGGGGGGTTTTGTTCTATATATGTGTGTTTCCGGGTGTTTTGTTGGGGTGTTATTACTAGGGATGTGTTAATTGGCGTCTGTCTCTGTTTAATGTTCTGATGGTGATATTTTTGGTTGGTGTTAAATTTGCACCATGAGTAGCAGTGCCGTTCGGCTGTTCAGTATAGAAATTCCCTGTAAATTCCAGTTCCAGTGTCCTTGCTTTTGCTGGCTGGTAGCTGTCAGCATTTAGCACCGCCTATTGTTTATGTTTCTGTTTATTTATTTGGCAGACGCTTTTATCCAAAGCGACTTACAATTTATAACCTATAGGGAACCAAATTCAAATATTTTTAGAGACAATACAGGTTTTGCAGAAATTAATCAATAAAACTAAAATATAAAACCGTAAAATTTGCTTCAGCCGGCTAAAGAAAATGGTAAATGGCCTGTATTTGATATAGCGCCTTCTAGAGTCCTGGAACCCCCCAAGGTGCTTTACAACACAATCAGTCATTCACCCATTCACACACACATTCACACACTGGTTGTGATGAGCTACAATGTAGCCACAGCTGCCCTGGGGCACACTGACAGAGGCGAGGCTGCCGAGCACTGGCGCCACCGGTCCCTCCGACCACCACCAGCAGGCAACGTGGGTTAAGTGTCTTGCCCAAGGACACGACAGCGACAGACTGAGCGGGGCTCGAACCTGCAACCTTCCGATTGCGAGGCGAGCACTTAACTCCTGTGCCACTGTCGCCCCAAAAAATACTGCCCACACGGTAAAAAGCAAGCTGACACCTTAACCACTAGACTACCATAGCCAGTACAGCAATAAGCTTGCCTAACATGCTGTTGTAAGCATGTTTTGTCAGACCAGGCATGGGCGGAGTTTACCTGAAAGAACCGTTTCATTTCCAGGTATGAATTCAGACTGACAAAAATGACGTATTTAAGATAAATGACCCGTCAATAGTGCCAGTGGTAATATTTTATCATTTACTGTGCCTAACTTTTCTAAGAAGTTTAAAATAGCGTGAAACGGAACATTTAACTATGTGTGCTGAAGACGCTCTCCTGGGACTAGATTTTAATGAGACTTTAACTAACACAGATTATTAATCTGGCTGGAGCTATTTTAAAACCCTGCTGAGGGTTATTTTGTGAAGAGTTATGTTATAAGTTATTAATATTTTTGTTTTAATCTCAAAATATGCATTGAAAAATATTTAAAGGGTTAAACTAAGAAAAGTCACCACTAAAACATGAAGAACAGCATTTTCTACTGCTGTGTAAACTGATTTAAAAAAAAGCCTCCTGCTAAAATCAAGTTCATTTGATTTTTATCATTTCATTTGCTTGCATGTGTTCTTTTGATTCTATCAGAATTTTGTCTATAAACAGCTGATTAAGTAATCTGATTAGTTTGTAGCACCAGGGTCTGAGAAGCTTTTCCTCAGATTTCAGTCTCAGTGTGGAACAGATTATTATTGAGCTGCAGACGTCATTCAGAACAGTGTTTTGCGTTGTGCAGAGCAGATCATGAAAGCTAAACACAGAAACGTGCTGCAGCTGTGCTGAAGAGCCCCGTCACCACCAACAGGAATATTAATAGGGACGACTGACACACACACCATAACACTTCAGCCTCTTTCCATTTAGCCTTCAGATTTTTTTCCTCTTCAGAAGGTTTGTTACTCCAGTGCTTTTCTCGCCGGTGCAGTAGGAGAACGACCGTGTTCCAGTGGTGAGAGCCACCTACACCTACCTGCTGCCATGGACCAGAGAGGATGCAGCTCTCTGACTGAATCACATCGTCTCTGGTTTTGCTTCAGCTGGAGTTTATTACAAGGAAAACTATGGCGTCAGATGGACGCCAAAACCCGTGCACGCGTATTGTCCACATTGCGCGTGCGAACAGGACTCGTGCGTGGAAGTTGGAACGTCTCGAGTGAAAATATACATGGCGAGAGGTCATTTGTACACTGAGAGGGAGCAAACTGTGTCTGTGAGCGCACAAGGATGTGCACAAGTGACAAACCTGCGTGCGCACGTTGGCCAACGAGCACGCGGCAGCCTCAAACCGAGCGCGCGGAAGGGCTGCCACACGCACAGTGAGTCAAAAATTGACTTTGGAAAAAGTGGGGGGGGGGGGGGGGGGAATGTCTCCCCCACCCCACCCCCCTCGTCCCCCCAGAAAAAAATTACGTCCATGGGTTCAACGAGAAATCAGAGTGTGTGAGCCAGGGCAGTGTATTTAGGCTGAATAGATTTTAAGTTTGAAAAGTAAAAGTAAAGGG